TCCAAGTCTTTTCTTGAATATAACTTTTTTTAGTAAAGCTTCCTGAGGTCCTCTCCCTGAGCCACTCTGCTTGTACAGACTGCCATTCTACATCCCAATGCCCACCAGTCTCCCCAACTTTAGCTTTTTTGAACTAGCACAATCGGATGCTGGTCTGTCATACAACACACGCTTGTTCTTCAAAATATTTTTGGTAAGAATTCAACAAGGCAGCATAAGACAGTGGCTTATTCATCTTTGCATCCTTTGACCCTAGCATGATTTGAACATTCACTCATTCACTCATTCATTTATTTAACACATCTTTTTTTTTCCTTTCTGGATGTAAAATTGGTGTAAAAATATTATATAAATTTCAGGTATACAACATTGTAATTCAATATCTGTATGTACTAAAAGTGATCACCACCAAAAGTCTAGTTACCATCTTTCACCATACGATTGACCCCCCTCATCCATTTACCCCCCCTACTCCCTCCCTTCTGGTAACCACTAATCTGTTTTCTGTATCTATGATTTTTTTGTTTTGTTTCTTCAATTGTTTGTTTGTTTAGATTTCACATGTGAGTGAAATCATATGGTATATGTTTTTTTCTTTCTGACTTATTTCACTTAGCAGAATAACCTCAAGGTCCACAAATCAAGGTTTTATTCTTTTATGGCTGAATAGATATATGCCACAATTTCTTTATCTATTCATTCATCAGTGGACACTTAGGTTATTTCCATATCTTTTCTATTGTGAATAATGCTGCAATGAACATAGGGGTTCATATATCTTTTTGAATTACTCTTTTTGTATTCTTCAGATAAATATCTAGAAGTCAAATCATTATATCATATGATAGCTCTATTTTTAAATTTTTGAGGCATCTCCATACTGTTTTCCATAGTGGCTACACCAGTACACATTCCCACCAACAGTGTGTGAGGGTTCCCTTTTCTCCACATCCTCACCATATATATTTTTTAAAATTTTTCATGTGCCAGGTACTGGGAATACAACAATTAAAAAGATATTTTCTCTGCCCCCTTAAGTAGAAGACAGGAAAGTAAATAGGAATGATCAAGGAAGTATTAAAACGACATAGTACTTATTCATAATAAATCTAGGGTTCTATGGAAACACATAAGGGGAGTGCAGTGACATTGATAGGTCAATCACTAAAAGTTATTTGAATAATGAATGGATGAGTGAGTGAATACATGAATGAATGAGTGAATATAATTGGTATGAGAGAATAGAACCCTCAAGGTAAGTAGTCACCATCAAATGGAAGGATGATTCTCCAGATTCACTATTTTGAATGAAATGAAATGTGACTACCAGAGTGCCGTCAATGCCAGTCAGCATGCTCCACCAACTTGGCCCAAGACTAATAAAATAACTGATTTCAGGCAAAACTGCACCCTTCTGATGCTATTTTCAGCATTTTCATTACTGGTTAAATAAAGTATGTGCTCATCTTCAAGGCAACTGACTGTACAGCCAAAATAGGTTACTGAACTTTGCTTAGGATTTTGCATCAGGGTATCAAATCATGGCTGTGATCATTTCAAAGCAGGAATTGTTTTTCCCATTGAACTTTGCTCTTTGATTTCAGCATGTCTCTTCCATCCCTTATGGTGGTTTTCATGCCAGCTATTTGCTCGTCTGCATTGCTGATTCTACACACAGAACAGCAGGGTTTATCAGAGGGTCATTTACTCTTCCTGATAACTCTCTAGTACAGTAAATATCTTCTGTGGAACTGGAAAAAGTTAGTTTAAGCCAGTTTTTCTTAGTTTCACTGAGAACTTTTTATAGACAATTTCCTTTTTCTTAAGTTCTTTCTACCAAATCAAAGCCTGTGAAAATCTTGCCTTTAAAAATAACCCTCATTTTAATACACTAAATTATTTAAAGTAAATTAAAATAAGAATTTAACATTTTAGTATGCATTTTAAAAAGTTAGAGTTAGAACTACACGGTTTGAAATATTTTCTCCCAATGTATTTTTATTATTATCTAAAGTGTGATCCGATCACTATATAAATGTGGAATCTTTCAGTGTAGGAAATCTTCCTCTTAAAGACCTTCCTTTATTGGTTACCTGCTTGTCCTTTGGAAGTTTTATCAACTTCCATGTCATCAACATTCTATCCCAGGCACTGCACTCACTAAACCCAAAATGAAACCAGTATGTTTTACAAATCTAGGATGACTTTTGTCTTAGCAGTAATGCTCAGACAAGTTATCAAAGCAAAGCAGCATCTGCAATGAAGTTATTAAATTCTCTTCTTGAACACAATTTTCAGTGACTGCACACTGTTTCATCAAGTGGATATAACCTACATTATTGCTCAGGCTGATCTTTATGCCATGTCTCATCCTCTCTTGTTATTCTCAGCCTGCATATCTTCTTCAAATTCATTTTTCCTTATTAATTTCTTTATTCACATCTTTCAATCCATGACATTCCTGTGACTAACAAGCTCTAGAGAATATATTTTAATTATTATTTGGTGTATATCACAATTGTTAATCTGAAAGGTGATGAATGACTTGACACTTTCTAAAACTTTAAATGAGCTGCTCTTAGCTAAAATGGGCCTCAAGTGATTTTCATTTTTTTTTTGTGGCCAACGAACCTAGATTGAAAAACAGTTCTTTACCACCTACCATATATAATTTATGTTTATTTGTTGCACCACTTCTAACTGTATAATATGAAACTGAATGAAGGTTTTAGTTTGTACTTCTGCAAACTCAAGGAAGGGATTCAGCGTGAAGATGGCTTCCCCTCCCTATGTAGCCTCTTAGCCCTTGCTCTTTGCCTTTTCACATAATCTTTACTTACTAAGCAGGCCGTTATTGCGTGAGCATCCACTCTCACAGTGTTTTGTTCAGGACCAGGTACTAAACTTAAACAGAAGCTTTGATGGCTGGAGTGTGACCAGAAGAGTCACCACGAGGATGAGGGGTTTGGAAATCAAGTCACATAATTATACTACACTACTTAACATGCATTGAGTGCTTACTATCTGCCAGGAACTGATCTTAAGTATCTTTTTATCTCATTTAATCCTCTAGCACCCCAATGGGGATGATTCTATTGTTATTCTCATTTTAAAGATGAAGAAATTAAAACAGGAAACTTAACTGTCCAATGTCACACAGCTAGTTTTAGCAAAATTTCTTAAAAGCTTATGCCTTCAGTTGGAGGAAATGAAGAGTAAGTATAGGGAAGCCGTAACACTTATCTTTGAATCTTTGAAGAGCTAGCACGTGGAAGAAACAATAAATATTTCTATAGGTGTTCAGAGTGTAATATTTGGACCAAGAAGTGAAAGTTAGTGATAAGTAGATTTCTGATTAATATATGAAATAACTTTCAAAGAATGAAATGTATCTTTAAAAAAGAATAAGTGATTTTGAGAGGTAGTGAGCTACTACTAGAATAGTGAAGAGACTGAATGGCCCTTTTTGGAGATGCTGGCAATGATGTTCAGGCACTTACTTAGTGCTTTGGATTAGGCATCTTCAAAGACCCTTAGGGCCTTGAGATGAAGGTAAATGATTCACTTTCATTTTTTATATTACGGGCACAGTGGCAACATTTAATGAATTCCAGGTGTCTACATTACAGAAACAAGCATTTCAGAATTGAAAGGTTGATTCATATTAAGCAAATTTGAAAAAAATGTCTTAAACTCTACAACAGAAAAATTTGAATAGACTCTGATAAAAGCAGCAGTTGCAGAGGTAGTGCAGTATAGTGGTTGTGAACATGGATTCCTGGGTCAGACCATTTGGATTCAAATCCCATTCTATCATTTACTAATTGTGTGACCTCAGGCAAGTTGCCTAGCCTTGTTATACCTCAGTTTCCTCATATCTAAACTACTGTGTTAAAAGCACTATCTCATTTTTTAAAATCCCTGTGAGGATTAAATGAGTTTCTTTCTCTCTCTTTTTCTCTCTTGCTCTCTTGCTCTCACTCTCTCTTGAAAGAAAAGCAAGAGCCTGGAACATAAGTAATAACTGTTTGTTATTATTTCAAAAAATGTTCATAAAATTTTAAATATGCAAACACTATAAAAGGTAAATTATTTTTAATTTTATTAATTGTCACAAATTGATACATTGTTTTGAAGATCAAAGAAGTCAGCACATAGCAAATAACACAAACATAAATCAAAAAACATGAGACCAAGATAGATTTGAACTTTGACTTTTAAAAAGGTCTTCTAAAACTGTGTTTTATTTTAAACAATAAGTATTTCATTGAGCATCTATTTTTATGTCTAGCACAATCCTAAAATACTATAAGGAAACCTATAAGAAGCATATCACATGGTTCTTATCCCCACATAGTTTATAATCTAGCTATTTGTGATTATAAAAACACATTTAAAAATTCTAGGACCTAACAACTTTAAGTAAAATCATCTTTTAAAGTAATCACTTTGAAAGGTTAAACACTTATTTTGATAATCCTGCCATTGCTCAAAACATTTTTTGCATCTTTTCCCTTGGGATTGCCTTTGGAGTCATTAACAAATCATTTAAGAAAAGCAGACTCATTGCTTTAGTTTAGAATGCTGCTCCATCTTTCTCAAGCACCTAGCTTAGTTACCTGAATTAATCACTAGGTTCAGTGCTTAGCGATTTCTGGTTATTTTAAAAATCTCAAATTCACCCTAAAAGACAAGTTTTGCTCTTCTTGATGACCTTCAGAACAATGTACTGCATGCAGTATTACTGGATAGTTAATACCGAGAACAAGAGGCCTTTCTCATCATCTTTCCAATTCCAACAGCATCCAGCTCTGTACTTAACCACCCCATAAGTGTAATACATGTTATGTTGAGTTGACCGAAGGGGCAACAGCACATTAGCTGTTCTGTGGATGGAAATGTAAGGGTGAGCTGAGGATTAAGGTGAGGAAGGAGTCCAGACGGGACTTGAGGGGGATTTCTTTCTGTTCTATTATTTCAGTGTTCTCTTTCACTACTTCTTAGATGTCTGGCTTTGACATCGAAGGACAAAAAGGTCTGCCTGAAGCTGGCAGCAGATTCTCCCAATACTCCCTTGTAGCCCTGTGTTTTAAAAAATATGTAGTTAATTAATTAAAAGATTAATACCTATTTCATAAGTTCTATACATTATATATACATTTTTCAAATACACATAAGTTATATAGATCACTGGTTTAAAGTAGAACTTCAGTTTCAACATACAGAAAACTATGTCCATATCCATTAATGTCAGGGATCTTTCTCACATGTCTGTTCTCAATAACAATCATTAGATTTCATACAACTGTTCAGAAATGACAATGTGTTTGACTTTACATGTTTTTGTGAATTATATTCATTCTGAAATTTCTAGAGAGTCTTTCTAACTCTACTCAGTATTTTAATGTAATGACAAGTATATGAAGATAGTTTTTTAATGTAATGAGACAAAATATAATTCTTTAAAAAGTAATTAAAAACAGAATACAGATTGTTTTGTCTGTATTTGTTCCTTGTTTTTAGACAAAGAAAGAAGAGCACAAAGTTTCCGGGTCAAAGACCTTTGTGTTAAATATATTTTTACAGTTTTTTCCTCTTTACCTATGAAACAGTGAACAAATCAATATTTTGGGATGAGAAAATATTAGAAATGTGGGGAGTATACAGGTTTCTGTGTAATCACAAATGTCTGCAAACTTCAGTATGTTGGGGAGTTCAGGGTAAGGAATGTATGGTTTTATTCTACAGAATAATGTTTTATCTTTAGTGGCTAATGCATTTTAAGGATCCCTAAACAATGATAATTAAAATAAGCCATTTCTCACTTATTTGAAGTATTTTAATCATCACCAAAGTATCCTTTCCTCTCCTTTTAATTATATTTATATTTAGTACTTTTTCTAAGTATGAGCCCTATAAACTCCACCTTCTCTATTAAATATCCATACCTCCCAGAAGAAATGTTTGGCTAAATGGTTTCTTGCCTACTTTTACAATCTAAATAAATTTATATTAGAAAGTCATTCTAGTTCAAAAATGAAGATTGTTCTAATTCTAATGAAATGGATAAAGAAGTACAAAATGGATTACGTATATACCAGCACTGAATAGATAAGAGGAGTGTCAACTTGACCTTGATCTTAGAACATTCTCCTACAAGTGGCTCAAGTTTTATAAAATAGGATTCTTTCTCCTTAGTCCATGTTTACCACTTGGTTCTGTAGTGAATAATGTTTAGAAAATCATTACTGGGGTACCAGAATATTAGATTGGAAATTTTATTGGTGGCATCAAGAGGTTAGATATCAAGTGTCAAAGCAAGATAGATACTCTGCAGAAGTTTCAAAGTAGGTAGCCGAATCACAATTATATGATTTCATAAAGGGTAATTACTACATAATATTAATAAAACAAAAAATAGAGTTACAAGACTTCAAAACATAAATGGCAAACATGTTACCTCTGGGACTGGGGCTGATGTCAGGAAGGGAACAACTTTATTTTTTTTAAATTCTATATTTTCTGAATGTTTTCTTATCATATGAATACATAGTGTTTAAAATAATAAATAAAATGAGATTTGAGGAAATTAGTAATGCTAATTTAAAAATTCCTACCTCGCTCTAATCCAGGGTTTGGTGTGCATGTTTAGGCCACTTCCCCAACTACCATGTTTGTCGGAAGCTGGAGGCCAAAAGCCCCTTTCTGGGGCCAGCTCCTCTGCAATTGCCCTGATGTGGTAGGGCTCAAATCCGCAGCATCCACCAATGTACCTGACCCCCAGGTTGTAGGCCTCTCTGGCATATTTTTGAATGTCCCATCTGGTTGCAACTCTGGGCTCCAGTCCTGTAATACAGTAATTACAACATCTCTGTTACCATCTCTATTTTCAAATGATAGATGCTCTGATGGGTTTTTTTTTTTAAAATTAATTAAAAAACTGTAAACTTCAGATTATACATTCTTAAGATAGCTCATTTTGGGTTAACACTGAATGTTTTCTTGTCTCATGCAGTCTTTTATTATAAGATTGTACCACAGTTGTTCATCATAGCTGTTTCATTTTGTCACAAGAAATCACAAAGACCTCTACTATGCACCCGAGCTTACCAAAGGGATATTCTGGGAGATCCAAAAACCCTCCTTTGCCACAATCAGGTGTGTGAAAACCCAGGGACTGTACCATCAGGTGTGCTTTCAGCCCTGCAGCCTGGAGGCCTTCCTTCATGAGCTTTATGGTCTTCAAGCTGGTCGTGGGCCCAAATCGGCAGTTCACGCCAACGATCGAAGCGCCTACGTAAAGAAATAAAGAATTTTTACATTTTATTTTTTTACTTGTTTATTTTATATTTTAATAGTTGGAAGGTGCCTTAGAGATTAGCCATCCTCCTCCAACTCTTGCGTTTTACAGATAAGGAAGCTGATTCCAGTTAGTGTTCTTTTATTTCTAAACTGCTCTCACAATATTAAGCAAACTTTGCTAAATTTCATAAACAACAACTGAACTGTTTATCACATTATGAGTCTAAATTACCTGCTTTCACCAGTTTAACAGCACATTCTCCAGGTGTTAGATTACACTCGTCTCCTTCAGGGCCTATGCACATAGTAGCTGCCACAGGTTTACCCGATTCTTTTAAGACTTCCACAGCCCACACAGCTTCTTCAGCATGCTCAAAATACTAAAAGAAATTTCATTTTTTTTCTATTGGTTCAAATATAAATCAGATTTTGAGTGGTAGAATGCAAATGTTGCAAAAGTTATAAAAATTATCCAGTATGTAATATGTGATAAAACTTGCTAAGGAATATGTCTCTATCAGACTGACTAAAGAATATCTTTTTTTTAGGAAATGTTTTAATGCTTTTAACAATATATAGATTTTCATTCAGATATAATCTGAGAAACACAAAGGTTTTTAAAGTAACTGAGTATTTAAAATCAGAATTTTAAAGGAATAAATATTTTACTGATAAATTTTGGATTTATCTTTTATGGAACTGGAGTAATGCTGAAAAATAATGAATAGTTGGTCAGGCTTTATACTACTTCAAAGTATTTTCATATTCACTTCTAATTAGATATTGATAAGTGTTCCGTAAAGTAGAAAGGGAAATATGATTATTTCGCCAGATGAGAACATTGAAGCACAGAGTGAGAAGGGATAGCTACTGAGTTTCTTTGTGGATCATGCACAGGACACCTTGTCTGAAAAATTCTTGCTACCATACAAGTGAGAGGGTGTTGGCCTTGACTACAGTGCATTTAAATAAACCTCTGACCATCTACACAGAGGAAATGAGGGCATAGGCAGTCCAATACCTTTGTGAAAGTTAAAGGCTATGCATTCATACTTGTCAAAATAGATTAACCCTTTCCCTATAACGCTAGGCTTACCTCTGCAATCAAGAAGTCCACATTTTTCCTGGCGAAAACTTCTAGCTGTAGTCGAAAAAGTTTTTTTACTCTAGCTTCATCCTTGCGGTGTTTATATATTGATGTCTGGCAGATTCCTCCTGCTACCAAAGCGTCACCTTTGCTAGCCACTTCTCTGGCGAGGTCACAGGCAGTGGCATTTACATCTTCCCACTGAGGTTAGATAGCAAGAGTTAAGACGATATTTTAAATGTAAAATATAATCAATAGCAAAGGGGGCAATGAGTAAGTAAGATGAGTACAAGTCTCTGGTTTAAACTGCAATTCGAGAAGACCAGCAGAATTGGGCACCATCTCCTCTATTAGCAGTGGGCTTTTATTTCCATTATTGTACTTACCACACTGGATTTTAGCATATTTGTTTGCCTCCCAAACTTGACTGTGAGCCGCCCCATAATCAACTCTATGCCTTTGTATTATCTTTGTATCTCGCATAGAGAATGCACTGTAACAAGCACACAGTACACGTCTGTTGGTTGAATGAGTAAATGAGCATTAACATTTATAAGTATTATAAATTACATTTACAGAATATCTCATAACACTTCCACACCCTTCACCGTATCCACCTTTCTCAACAACCCTATGCAGTTAACCATAACTTATTTCCACTTGCAGAGAAAACCAATGCCCCATGCAGTTAAGTGTCTTGCACAAAGTCACACAACAAATAGGTAGCAAAGTTGAGCATCCAACCCAATTCTGCTCATGCCTAAGCCAGTGCTGGAGACCACCCTGTCTCCAGATGGACAGGTCAGAAAAGAAGAATGTGAAATGAGAAGGTAAAAAGAGCATCTATAAAGTGTCAATTCTCTATAAAAAATAGCATAGGAAAATGGCCATGCCCTTCCAATGGCCAATTCTTTACCAGTCCTATCTCTACCCCTCCCCTAGAGAAAAAGACAGAAGAAGCTAATTTATTTAGTATATACATAAATAATTAATTACTTAATAGATATTTTATGTGGAGTTTGTAATATAGTATAGTAACACATCAGGTCAATTCCATAGTTTCCCATCGAGAGGTTATTTTTTTATAGATGATCCCTGCTTCCCCTGCCCCCACTTTGACCTTCAACTGACTGGCAATCCAGTTTACCTTGCTTTCCATGTTTTCTTCATTGGCAGAAAAGGTGAAAGTCTGCATGACATTTGATCCTGCTCTCAAGAATTCCATGTGAAGCTGATGAACTACAAAGTAGTTGTTTTTTAAATTGAAATTAAAAATTAAAAATCACAGTTGCTATCATTTTCACCAGCAGCAGCAATTCACCCACTCACCTCTCTTCCAGTCATACACAATTTCAAACCTAGTACTTGTTTAAAAATTGCAGACTAAAGTCTGCAGAATTCAAGGACAAGACATGGCAGAGTCTATACCAAATCAAGGCTGTTTAGAGTAGCCTATAATGTCCTGCTGATGGGTTTCAAGGCCTGGTGAAGTCTCATGCAGAAATTAAGACTTGGTTGGCCAATTGTCCCTTGGTCTTTTGATCTAGAGAGAATTTATTCATTTGCCAGTGTTGTGAAGGATGTCTACTTACAGTCAGCACTGGGGACCCCTCAAAGTAGAATGAGGACAACTGTGTTTATTTCTTCACTCCCTCCCCCTCCCCCAACAGAACCTGGCTGTCTATGCTCTGCCAAGCTGGTGGTTATGGTTAATCATCCTTATCAAACACATTGTTATAATATAATATGCAAATTAGCCAGAAGAATGAATCTGAAGCAATAATAGTTTTACTATGGTAAGGAAGCTCTTGAAAATCCACAAGGTAAATATTTATGAAATGAATATTAAGATGTATATTTTAGCACTACCTATATATGCAGATGAAAATGTGTGTGTATGGTAGGAGAAGAGGCAGTGAGGGACATTTTCTTCTGTTTGATCAGCCCATGTACTGTCACTGTCTCCACATCTTGGCAATTTTAACAAGTGAAACAGTCATTGGAAAACACACGCTGTTTATTTTTTAAAAATATTCTCTAGGTCAGATGTAAGCAAAATGTCACCCAGATACTCTTGGGCATGCTGGCACTGACCTGCATTTGGATGTTCTACTACGGCTTCTGGAGTCCAGAGCCCGGCCTTTACGTAGCCCCTCTTCTCCAGAGTTATAAGAAAGCTGCCATCTCCAACCACAACCTCCCCACTATTCAGACGTTCCAAAATACCCTGAGAAAAGAAAGAAAAATCACCTAAGACCCCTCTTTTCTTTTGCCCTAAAAGCAGTTTCTAATTCTAGGAAAGGCAGTACTATGTTCTTATAGCTTCAATTCTGTTAAAATCGTCAATGTCTAATAATAGTTCAGAAAGGTTGAGTATATTACATTTCTTCGACAACCCGGGTACTTGTTTTGTGCAGAGTGCTGTGACTATTTTTTCTCTTAACATTTTATCTGAGTCAAAATATAGTGAAAGCAGCGATTCCATAGTTTAGTTTTCCAACATGTTGTGGCAGACATTGCTAGTTGCATAGCTAATTTTCATTTTATCTCCTTTTCTTTGCTGATGTATTTTGTTTGGGCAATGTTCCCAACTTAAAAAATAAATCTCAGGCTACATTGCTGCTGAGGGTAGCCATAGGATACAGTGCTGGCCAATATGACAAAGGTGGAAATCCACTGAAGATTTCTGCAAAAGTTTTGCTTTCCTGATATAGATGCCCACTCCCTTCTATATTGACACTTTTTTCCTTCCTGACTCGAGTGTCGACATGAGCACAGGGGGAATAGCAGTCATCTTGCAGCCAGGTCACTGAAAGCCACATGCTAAGGCTAGTGGAGTAGAATGACAACCGTAGCCTGTTATCTTTGGACTGCTAGACCTCTTGTTAGGTGAGAAAAATAAACCTTTTTTTGTGTGTGTAAACCATCCAACATAATCCTAATGGACACAGTATTTCATAATTATGCCCTACATTTTCCAGGATGTCCATATACACGTTATCATTTGGTACTCCCAACAACTCTGTGAGCAAGGCAGGGCATTTTACAAGTGAGGAAACTGAGGTTCAGAGAGGCTAGGTGACTTGTCCAAGATCACAGAACTAAGTAAGTAACAAAGCAGACTTCAGATCTTCTAAATTCCTAATCTAGTCTTTTTCTCTTTTACCACCTTTCTATTCAGCCCACACATAACTTGAATAAAAGGTTGTATCCTGAGCAGTTATTCAAGAGTTAGGGTTTCCACTGTCTAAAGCATGCCTCCCTCTGCATGGCTCACTCTCTCGGTCCCTTCAGGTCTTTGGTCAAGTGTCATCTTTCTAGAGATACCTTCCCTGACCACCTTATGACACACTGCAAACACCCCCATGGTGATCCCTATCCCTCGTTGATAGACTGCATTAGGTGAAGATAAAACCTTTTAGTGAAAATACAAGGTCAGTTCATTTCAGTCTTGCCTATAGCTGGATACAGAGCAATGCAAAAATTGGAGAGAAAAGCCTCCAGTTGCCTCCTCTAACCAGTCATATGTGCAGTCCAGAGAAGTACATTAAAAAGGGTTACACTGGAGGCTAAGTACCAGTCTACCATACCTGTACCACCTCCATTGCCCTATGGAGGGAAGTAGAATGGAGCCCAGCTCTGTCAGCCGTGTTAAACATAAACATTGTCTTGACAGAGAGACCTTCTGACTCTGGTTATTTTTCCATATTTCATATCTAAAGATGAATTTTAGCTGAACGTAGAAGAAATTTTAATATTTACCATGATTCTCACCCATCCCTTTATAAAATGCAATTCATCTTTGTTTTGTACTTTTGAAACATAAAAAAAAGACATAAACTTTAAACTTTCATCGAGACCTCTTCACATGCCAGTTACAGCTCTAGGCAAGAGGGATAGACATTGGAATAAGACAAGGTCCCTGCCTTCGAGAAGCTCAAAGTCTGGCCACCCTGAGGAAGGCCAATGAGTCAACACATTATTATTACATTACAAACACAATGTAATAATGAATGCTGCAGAGGAATATAGACGAGAGAATGAGACATATAGACCTGTATGAAATCTCACCTTGAAAATCTAACATACCTCAGTTAAACATGTTAGGAATCAAATTTAACAGTTCATGTCAAACAATTACAGAGAGAGAAAACATTGGTATATAATTTAGGTGGTATAAGTTAGTATCTCACCTCCCATGTCTAATCTGTCACAGCGTTATATCAAGTATATCTATTCAACACTTCTTATACATATACTCCCATCCTCACTACCTGTGGATTATTGAAATGGTCTTTAGTTCACTCCAGCCCATTCTATTCTATCTTTCATTGCCTGACCTACTCTTATTTGTGATTACCTTCTTCTTTGTGTGCTACTTAAGTCCAAACATTCTCCATTCCTGCATCCATCAGGACACTACAATGTCTGCTTACTTTCTTGTCTCTTGTTTGATTGTAAGTTGTTTGTGGCTAAGGTGACACATCTCGTCTCTTTCTCTACCACCTCCTACAGCACCTAACAAAGAATAAGCCCTTAATAAACTATGCGGAGTTAGCAGACAGACAAGACTGTTTTGAAAATGTCATATGTTTCACATATGCTACAAGTTTGGTCTTAAGGAGAAAAAAAAGTGACATTCTTTAACAGAAAATTAGCTACGGTTTTCAGAAAATTATAATTTTGGCTGTGTTTTCATGATACCAAGCAAAGGTAGGACATTTTCATCTGTTATGTAGACGTTTGTCTAACATTTTAAATTTTGCCAGTTTTCTAAACAGCCATTAGCAAAGTAACTAAGTTGTTAAAATTTGAATTTAGAGCATCTTTTAGCCCCTCCTTCACTGCTATACTTACCACTTCAATTAATTACTATACCAGTATGATCTAAAGACAACTCTAGAACAACAGAGGACTGTGTAAAATAAAAAACACTGTAAACTAATTGCAGTACATTGATATTTTCATTCCATCCTCCCTTTTGGCAGCGAATCTGCCTGGGATCTGATAGTGAACTCTGGGAGATAGTTATGCCCCCTTTTTGCATATTATCAGTCTCTAGACCTCTGGATTTGAGATCTGGCTTCAGGGCACCTCTAGTCACACACAGAGGAATCCACCAACTGCAACCTGTGGCAGGAGGCAGCCAGAAATCTAATCTACCTAAAAATATCTCCCCAGCTGCCTGAATTGATACCAAGACTGCTCTTTTGGATTACAGAAGCAATTGGAGGTGTCATCTGTGGCAATTCAGTGAAATCTTAGACATTTATATAATTTATAAAGTATTTCTCCCCCTACCCCCAATAGTCTAGTACCCACCTAGCACTATACATAGTTATTACAATATTATTGACTATATTCCCTATGCTGTACTTTTCATTCCTGTGACTATTTTGTAATTACCAATTTGTACTTCTAAATCCCTTCACCTTTTTCACCCAGCCCCCTAGCCCCACTCCTATTTGGCAACTATCAATTTGTTTTTTGTATTTATGAGTCTGTTTCTGTTTTGTTTATTCATTTATTTTGTTCTTTAGATTTTACATATAAGTGAGATCATATAGTATTTGCCTTTCTCTAAGTTATTTCACTTAGTGTAATACCCTCCAGGTTCATCGATGTTGTTGCCAAAAGTAAGATTTCATTCTTTTTTAAGGCCAAGTAATAGTAAATTGTACATATAAGGAAGGTACCACATCTTCCTTATCCAACATTCTATTGATGGGCATTTACATAGCTTCCATATCTTGACTATTGCAATGAACATAGGGATACATATATCTTTTCAAATTAGTGTTTTGAATTTCTTTAGATAAATACCCAGAAGTGGAATTGCTGGCTCATAAGGTAGTTCTATTTTTAATTTTTTGAGGAATTTCCATACTGTTTTCCATAGTGGCTACACCGATTTGCAATCTTATCAACAGTGCACGAGGGTTCCCTTTTCTCCACCTCCTAACCAACATTTGTTATTTGTTGATTTAATGATGATAGCCATTCTGACTAGTGTGAAGTGACATCTCATCGTGGTTTTAGTTTGCATTTCTCTGATGATAAGTGATACTGAACTTCAGTATGGTCAATTAATCTATGACATAGGAGACAAGAAGATACAATTGGGTAAAGATTGTCTATTCAATAAACGGTGTTGGAAAACTGGACAGATAAATGCAAAAAGATGAAACTGGACCACCTTCTTACACCTTATACATGAATAAACTCAAAATGGATTTAAGACTTAAATGTAAGATTTGAAACCATAAAACTCCTAGAAGAAAACATAGGCAATAACTCTCTGACATTGTTCTTAGTAATATTTTTTCTGATATACCTCCTCAGGCAAGGGCAACAAAAGAAAAAATGAACAAATGAGACTATATCAAACTAAAAAGTTTTTGCACAGCAAAGGAAACCAACGAAATGAAAAGACAACCTAATGAATGGCAGAAGATATTTGCCAATAATACATCTGATAAGGGGTTAAAATCCAAAATTTATGAAGAACTCATACAACTTTACACCAAAAAAACAAACAATCCAATTTAAAAATGAGCAGAAGACCTAAATGTACTTCTTAAAATGCACCTGTTAGCTGAGAAGAGAGGTGAGGTCAGCTCCTTCCCGCTAACATTTTAACTCCCAGGTACACATTAACATGGATTAGTGTATCATAGCCTGGTGTTGCAAGAGTAGAGGCTAAGAAAAAATTAAACAGATAGCATATTTTTAAAACTTAAAAAAAATGAACTGTAAAAGTGAACATAGTATTACAGAAAGTTTAGAGAAAGAAATCAGCACTTTTCTTTGCTTCTTTATCTTTCTATTATGCTCATTTTCTCCAATGCCCTCATTTTACTTTTATGATCAGTAAAACATATCCAAAATATGGTTTTAAGTTTTTTTAAACCCATATTCTTCATCTTATGTTACTACTACCATTATTGTGTCTTTCTTTACAGAGTATATATAAATATTTTTACATGCATAGTTGGAATCAGTCTGTGATATATCTCCTTTTATACTTAAAATTGCCAAAGCACTTTGCCCGTTTCCAAACTTAGCTTTTTAATTGGCTGCCTAACAACTTTTTAAGTAGATGAACCTTAATTAATTTAGGGAGCCCACTATTGTAGGGCATTTTGGCCATTCCTAACTTTTTAGTATAAATAAGTTAGTGGTGCACATTTCATGTCTATAGTGCCCCATCTATCCTGACCCTCTCTTCTGAATTTTGGGGCACTGATTGGTTGCTTTGAGGGGTCCTGCACATGTCCTGCGTCCAAGTTCATGCCCTTCCTAATTTTGTTTTGTCACCCTTCTTCCTACCACGCACATGCCCAAGGGTAGAAATGGGGGGACAAAGCCATTATAGCTGGCAACCAGATCAGGAAAGAGGGGTAGGGGGAGCGGGGTGTGTGTGTGTGGCTTCTGAGTCCAAGGCTAGACTTCAAATCCCCGCTTAACCCCAAGCAAGCAGGCTGACTCTGTGGGCCTCAGTTTCCTCACCTGTAAAATGGGGACAATTGTGAAGATGAGGAGATAATTGCAAAACGCACTCCAGGCAGTAAATGGTACCTAGGATTGTTCATTACACCAAGGCAGTACTGTCATCCCCCGCTTCGCGATCGGGTAAACTGAGGCTCAGAGCCGCACAGGTGCCTTGCCAAGGCCGCAGATCTGGGCTAGAGGATAAGATGGGATTTGAACTCCCGGCTCTGGGAGCTCCGCAGCCGGGAGGGCTGACTGAGAACCTTGAAGGCTCCGGGAAACTCACCTTCTTAGCCCCGGGGCCTCCAGCTGGTACCATGATTGCTGCAGCTTTGCTGGCGCCGAGTCGGGTCGCTGGGAGCGCGTCTGTCCAGGAGCCCGCCCTTCAACTGGGGGAGGATCCCCTGCCGCCCCGCGTCCCTGCCGCCCTGCCTCCCCGCCGCCCCGCGGTCCCAGGATGTCGGCTGGCCTGAGAGCCGGTGCCCGCGCCCTCAGCCTCCGCCTCGCCATGCTCCGCCGGGGCGCGCAGCGACTGCGGGGCTTTCCACTGCCCAGCTTCCCCGGCTGTCCACGCTCCGTCTGTGGCCGCGAAGGGTGAGTGGGGGCCCGGCCTGACCAGAGGCCTGCGTCCTGGAGGCCCCATGGAGTGTGGGGCGCGGGGCGGGCGGGTTAAGGCAGACTTTGGGGTTGGCGGCTCTTCGGCCTCTGAAAAATGGGCATTTGGATTTCTTCTTGATTTATCTGTTTTCTTTTCCATATGCAACCGTACAAAGTGAAACAGTATCAAAGGGTTCCTGGTGCAAAGTCTCTCCTACTCCAATCCCCTTCCCCAGTCAACTGTATAGTAACTTCTGTATCTGTTCAGAGATGGTCTATGTGTCGGCAAACACAAGTGTATATATATATTCTACTTTGGCTTATTTACACATCGATTTTCACAATGTCTTGAAGAAGCTCACGATCCAGCTAAGGTGACAGTCATGCACATAAATACATTAAACCACTAAACAATATAATTAAAGAAACATGTAAACAGCAAGAGAAAGTTAAGTGAAAGAAAGTTAAGTGAAAGAAAGTTAAGAATATTTTACCCTATCTGGCTCTCTTCATTCTGGATAACAGTAGAGAGATGAGGTGATCCAAGATTTATGGATATTAAACTTCATGACAATTATGTTTTTTGTGGAATATAAAATGATTATAAGTGTGTTCTTTAAGTAGACTGAGAAAAATTATTCTCTACATTCTTTGGAAAGAAAAAGACCTCATCTGTTTAATTCTTTAGCTAAATTAGTTATCTCTGATGAACCAGAATAATGTGGAATGGGGTTCAAATGCCTCCACCCCCTCCCCCAACCAGGTTGTCTAAGTCAGGCTATAGATGCCTTAAAAAAAAACAAAGAAACAACAACAAAACTATAGCTACCATAGCCTAGTGAAGGTACCATTAAAAACAAATTGTCTTCCAGAGAGAACAACCCACCTTTATCTGCAGAAACAAGATGGAAAGACCAGGCAGAAACAGTGATAATTGGAGGCGGCTGCATTGGTGTGAGTCTGGCTTATCACCTAGCCAAAGCGGGCATGAAAGATGTGGTCCTCCTGGAGAAATCAGAGCTCACTGCTGGATCTACCTGGCACGCAGTAAGGAAAGCACTCCAAAACTCTCATATGCACGAGTTGTGCACTAGTGGAATCAGTTTCCCTCCCATTCTCAGTTCCCTTTGTAAGCTCTTTAGAGTGAGCTCTCTTTCAACAGTGTTAAAAAGTACAGTTCCACTGTGGTTGGTGTACTTCCAGGAAGTGGTCAACATTTATGATGTCTTTATCTTGAACATACAGCTTCTGGATTCAGATCCTGGCTCTGTTGTTTTCTATCCACATGACTTATGGTTAATTGCTTAAGTTTCCATTTCCTGACGTGTAAAGTGGGAGTATTAATAGTACCGACCTGCTAGGATTGTGATGAAGATTGAGTTAATATGTGTAAAGTTATTAAACACATTATAACTGTTTAGTAAATTTAGCTTTTGTGGTCCTTTACATTTATTTGTTTATTTATCATTTTAATTTTGTGCTGTAAGACAACTCGGCTGTATGAAAACGTAACTATAAGGACTGAGAACTTGTGAGAGAGGCCAAAGCAGCTGATCCTCCCTGAGTGCAAATTTGGGGGGAACCTTCACAGGGACACTTGTATTTTGTTTTACCAGTTCCCCCTCATCTTGTTTCCTCCTGCCTGGAGAGAGGGGTTCAGGAAGCCATCAACACTCCTGACTCTTCTCCCTACCTTGAACTAGACTTTCTATGTAGGCTTTTTGCTATCATGTAAAAGAAAGCCTGCATTTCTCTTAGAGCTCTCCTATATCTTCTTCTTGATATTCAGGCACTCTTTCAACAAATATTTACTAAAAGCCTATATTGTGTCAAGCCAGCACTGTTCTAGGAGATAAGGACACAGCAGTGAACAAAACAAAGTCTCTGCCTTCATGGAGCCATATTCTGGTAGGGCAGACAGAAAGTACACAAGTAGTGTTTGAGAGTAATCAGTGCCATGAAGAAGAGGAAATCAGGGATAAAAGGATGAGGAATGATGGAGGTGGAGGAGTCAGGAGGCCCATTCAAAGAGCATGTAGTCAGAGGGAAATTTAGGCAAGTGAAAATATCCTAAGAGGGAGGGCTTACATCCTTTTTACACTTTTGTGTTGTTAAGGAGGATGTTCTCTTTAATATTTTAATTACTTATTTTCTCATTTATACTTGATTGGTTCGATGGGGCCTGCATTTTAGAATAGAGTACTGGATTCCCTGCATTTTTACTTTTTAGACATCCGAAGAATTAAAAAAAAAAAAAAAAAAGCAACATACCCTTAACCTATTCTTTTAAGAAAAGTGAGCAAAGTTTTAAAAATATTTTAACATATAATCTTGTTAAATGTTAACTGTGCAAAACAATTTTCCCTTAAGCAAAGAGATACCAGAGTGAGTGGAAAAGACATTATCCTGGTTTGTGAACAAAGTATTATGCAACCTGTGGTTTACAAAATGAGATTCATGCCGTGTGAGCTCAAGATGGAGTCAGGCATCAGAAGCCAGGTTATTTGGCCCCCAAGGAATAAAGAAAACAGAAAAAAGGGGCTCTAAGAACCTGATTCTAGGACATTTTGTAAGTCAAGGGGGCCTCTGTCTGAAGAGCAACATGAAAAACTCTCATGTATCAGGAATTTTTAACTCAGAAATGTGTGGAGCAGATATGAGAATGTGGAAGATTGGGAAGGCAGCTAAAAAAATTAAGGCATTCTCATTGAAGTATGACATGTGCTCAAGGTTCAATGTGCCTGGAGAGGGCCGGAATCGATGTTTAGGGAGGAAGGCACAGTTTGCATCATGAATATTGAAAATGGAGTGATAAATCCAAAAATCTTGAGGGTTTCCTATATTTTAAGGAACCTGCTTTGTCAGCACCTGATATTACTACTAATATGGAGCTTTTCTTGTGGGATGGAGGGGAAGAGGGAAAGACTGAGTGAGAAGCAGTTTTGGAGCAGCCCCCACAAGAGGCTGCCCCTGGAAAAGGTAAGAAAGTGGATGTTTTGGAGGGTTGAGGACTAAAGAGGCAAGATGACCCATTTAAAGTATAGGAAGACAATATCAGAACTTTCTATTTATATTTGTCTAAAAATATAAGGAAAAAATTAAGCCTTACTAGTCTTTATAAACAGCCCTCACTTTTGATACAGGTGACTATCTTCAGTCTATCATGACGTTTGCAGATCACGTGCCGTAGGATATCATCGTTGTGACTAATTTTATAGAAACAAGGCTTTAAATAATATAATTTGTGATAAAAGAAAGAGAGAATAACCTTGAGAATGCTGTACTACACAGAGGTTTGTTGACTAGCTCATGACAATAATTAAAAGAGTTGTGAAACTTAAAGTTTTTCTTTTACAAACTATCCCAAATTTGGTGACCTTTGTGGTAATGGAAATGGTTGCCAGTCATTTCTACATAGCAGATACTTACTAAAATATATATATATATGCAGTCTATCCTTTCAAAGTAAAAGTAATGTTACCATAAGTGAGAAATAACTACTTTTTTGCAAAATGGTCCTGTTCAGAAAAGAGCATTTTGAAAAAGGATGTTTGAAAATGTTGGCATTATTATTAGATTTTTCTGGCCAAAATGACATATGTCACCTAGAAAAGCTGTCATATATGCAAAAGGTAACTTAAAAATTTTTATTTATTTATCTATCTATTTGTTTATTTAATGTATTTATTTATTTATTTATTTATTTATTTTATAGTAACGTTGGTTAACAAAGTACATATTTGTGTGTCACCACATATTTGTGTGTCACTACATATTTGTGTGTCACCACATATTTGTGTCACCACAAATATGTGTCACCACATATTTGACCGCAAAAGGTAAATTTTTTAAATTTAGATTTCTTTCTGTCACCACATATTTGACCTCAAAAGGTAAATTTTTTAACCCATCAAAAATTTTTCCAAATGAGGATTTTCAGTTGGATTTGTACCCATTTATTTAAAATAAAAGTTCAATACCTTCTAATTATCACGTAACAATAACTGATAAACAAGAGAACATGAAACATTAATAGTCAGATTTCGACGAAAACCGTTGTATAGGTGGTGATTGGGATGGAGGAAGTCGTGTCAAGAATCAGAGAGTACAGCCGAGAGAGTGCACTTCTTCTCCTTAGGTCTTTGTAATAAAGATAGGTGGCTTGTTCAGTTATCACAGCCATTTGAACCAGTCTCAAAATAATACAAACCTAGAATTAGGCCTTCAAATGGCTGTTTTACCACAATTAATCCAATACATATATTTTAGTAATAAAGTATGTTAATCACACAGCCCTTGCTAAAATATTAAGAAGCTTAATATTCCAAAGCTTTTCTACACAATAAACAAAATAAAAATTATTTAAAATATTTAATTCATTTCAAATTGTTTTGTGTGTTTTATGACTTCTGTTAATATAGAAATACACATCTATATCATGTAAAAATAAGGAAATACACCTACTTTAGTGGATATGCTCAAACTTTTTAATTGGATGTGAGTAGATGGATAAAATATTTGGAGCCACTGGGATATAGGATGGCTTGAGGTCAGTCACTGGGCTTTTTGAGGCTGTAGAGGCTCATGAATGAAGGAAAAGGATTATTAAAGAGTTAAGGAGAGCATCACAGCTCAATTGATGATTTTTCTAACTCCATCATTCCTGTCATTAACTCATTAATTTATTATTAATTGTCAGTCTACTATAAGGAAAAGCTTTCCCTTCTTT